TCTCACCAAGATACTAGCCAATAGGATCCAACAGTACATTAAAAGGATTATTCACCATGACCAAGTGGGATTTATTCCTGGGCTGCAAGGGTGCTTCAACATCCACAAATCAATCAATGTGATACACTACATTAATAAAAGAAAGAACAAGAACCATATGAGCCTCTCAATAGATGCAGAAAAGCATTTGACAAAGTACAGCAACGTTATTGATTAAAACTCTACACAGTGTAGGGATAGAGGGAACATACCTCAATATCATAAAAGCCAAATACGAAAAGCCCATAGCCAATATCATTCTCCATAGGGAAACACTAAGAGCTTTTTTCCTAAAGTTAGGAACATGGCAGGGATGTCCACTAACACCACTGCTGTTCACCATAGTACTGGAAGTACTAGCCTCAGCATTCAGACAACAAAAAGAAATAAAAGGCATTTGAATTGGCAAAGAAGAAGTCAAACTCTCACTCTTGGCAGATGACATGATACTCTATGTGGAAAACCCAAAAGACTCTGTCCTAAAATTGCTAGAACTCATACAAGAATTCAGCAAAGTGGCAGGATATAAAATCAATGCACAGAAATCAGTTGTATTTCTATACACTAGCAATGAGACAGAAGAAAGGGAAATTAGGAGTTGATTGCATTTACAATTGCACCAAAAACCATAAGATACCTAAAAATAAAACTTAACCAAAGAGGCAAAGAATCTGTACTCAGAAAACTATAGAACCCCCATGAAAGAAATTGAGGAAGGCACAAAGAAATGGAAAAACGTTCCATGGTCATGGATTGGAAGAACAAATATTGTGAAGATGTTAATTCTACCCAGAGCAATCTACACATTGAATGCAATCCCTATCAAAATACCATCCACTTTTTTCAAAGAAATGGAACAAATAATCCTAAAATTTGTATGGAACCAGAAAAGACCCCAAATAGCCAGAGGAATGTTGAAAAAGAAAAGCAAAGCTGGTGGCATCACAATTCTGGACTTCGAGCTCTATTACAAAGCTGTAATCATCAAAACACTATGGTACTGGCACAAAAACAGATCATAGATCAATGGAACAGAATAGAGAGCCCAGAAATGGACCCTCAACTCTATGGTCAACTAATCTTCAATGAAGCAGGAAAGAATAGCCGATGGAAAAAAGACAGTCTCTCCAACAAAGGGTGTTGGAAAAAGTGGATAGCCACATGCAAAAGAATGAAACTGGACCAATTTCTTACACCATACACAAAAATAGACTCAAAATGGATGAAAGACCTAATTGTGAGACAGGATTCCATGAAAATCCTAGAGGAGAACACAGGCAGCAACCTCTTCAACCTCAGCCACAACAACTTCTTGCTAGACACGTCTCTAAAGGCAAGGGAAACAAAGGCAAAAATGAACTTTTGGGACTTCATCAAGATAAAAAGCTTTTTTTAAAAAATTTTTTATTGCTATGTTAATCACCATACATTACATCATTATTTTTTGAAGATAAAAAGCTTTTGCACAGCAAAGGAAATAGTCGAAAAAACCAAAAGACAACCGACAGAATGGGAGAAGATATTTGCAAATGACGTATCAGATAAAGGGCTAGTATCCAAGATCTATAAAGAACTTATCAAATTCAACATCCAAAGAACAAATAATCCAATCAAGAAATGGGCAGGAGACTTGCACAGACATTTCTCCAAAGAAGACATCCAAATGGCCAACAGACACGAGAAAGGGCTTAACATTGCTCGGCATCAGGGAAATCCAAATCAAAACGTCAATGAGATACCACCTCAAACTAACTGGTCAGAATAGCTAAAATTAACAAGTCAGGAAATGAGAGATGTTGGCAAGGATGTGGAGAAAGGGGAACCCTCCTACACTGTTAGTGGGAACGCAAGCTGGTGCAGCCACTCTGGAAAACAGTATGAAGTTTCCTTAAAAAGTTGAAAATAGATCTATCCTACGACCCAGCAATTGCACTACTAGGAATTTACCCCAAAGATACAAATGTAATGATCTGAAGGGGCACCTGCACCCCAGTGTTTTATAGCAGCAATGTCCACAATAGCCAAACTATGGAAAGAGCCCATCAACAGATGAATGAATAGAGAAGATGTGGTATATATATACAATGGAATATTACTCAGCCATCAAAAAATGAAATCTTGCCATTTGCAATGACGTGGATGGAACTAGAGGGTATTATGCTAAGCAAAATAAGTTAATCAGAGAAAGACAATTATCATATGATCTCACTGATATGTGGAATTTAAGAAACAAAACAGAGGATCATATGGGAGGGGGGGAAATAAAACAAGATAAAATCAGAGATGGGGACAAACCATAAGAGACTCTTAATCATAGGAAACAAACTGAGGATTGCTGGAGGGGAGGAGGGTAGAGGGATGGGGGAACTGGGTGATGGGCATTACGGAGGGAACGTGATGTAATGAGCACTGGGTATTATATAAGACAGAAGAATCACTGAACTCCACCTCTGAAACTAATAATACACTCTATGTTAATTAATTGAATTTAAATAAAAAAAACTAAACACAAACAAAAAAACTGTTGAATAAATAATCTGTGAAAGAAAAGAAATCATAGGTAGATAGATGATAGATGATAGATAGATGATAGATAGATAGATAGATAGTTAGATAGATAGATAATAGATATGGTTATGTACTGCTAAAAGAGACAGGATATGCTGGCCAGCCCAGAACTACTGTAGGGTACAAGAGTATCAGAAGAGTGAAGAATGACTTCAAGATTTTGGACTGAGCAACAGGAGAAGTGTAGCTGTCATTAATTGAGATGATTTAGAGGGAGGAAGGAATCTCAGAAGCTCACTTTCAGAATGTGGAGTTTGAGATGTTACTAAATAATCAATTGGGGGTTGTCAAATAGGTGGTGGATGTACGGTCTGATTCTGGGGAGAGGTTCAGCTTAGAGGTATAAATCTGGGAGTCCTCAGCATAAACGTGGCATGGAAAGCTGCAGGACCTATTGAGATCAGCCAGGCAGTGAAGGTAAGTAGAAAGGAGAAGTCCAAGGCCTGAGTCTCACTGCATGTCAACTTTCAACAGCCTGGGTGATGAGATGAGGTGGAGCCAACAAAAGAGACTGGAAAGGAGCACCAGAAAGGTAGAAGGCAGAGAATGGAAAATCCAGTGAGTATGGTATCCTGGAAGTCAAGTAGGGAAAGGATTTCAAGGAAGAGAAATGACTAGGAAATGAACTTCAATTAGCAATAAGGGAGGAAGATATTGGTGACTTGACAAGAGAAATTTCATTATAATGTGTTCCAAAATAAATGGCAGGAGAGAAATTAGAGCATCTGAGTATGGACACTGCTTTTTTCTTTTTCTTTTTTTTAAGATTTTATTTATTTGAAAGAGAGAGAGCCCAAGCAGGGGGAGGGGCAGAGGGAGAGGGAGAAGCAGCCTCCCTGCTGGGCAGGGAGCCCCATGTGGGGCTTGATTCCAGGACCCTGAAATCATGACCTGAGCCGAAGGCAGACGCTTAACTGACTGAGCCACCCAGGTGCTCCTGGACACTGCTTTTTAAGCATTTGCTGTGACTTCTATACAACATTGTGCCTATAGTTAAGGAGATGGTGCTGTGCACCTAAAAATACAGGAGGCTACCCTTACCTGTGCCCACCCTAGCCAGCGGTTCTCACTCGCATGTACCCAGTGAGATGCACTATGCGCAGAGACAGAGCGGGCACGGGCAGAGCATTGGTGGCCAGCCTGGGACTGGGGCTGCTGTTTCTAACGCTGCTCCTACCCATGCTGATTTCTTCAAACCAAACAATTGTTGTAACACTTTCAAGGAACTCCTCCCAGAATACTTCAACTGCCCCAAATCTGGCTAATGCCACCACCGTGGCAACTGGGAGTGCTCTGCAGTCATCAGCCAGTCTCTCTGTGATCTCCATCTTCCTTCTACATCTCTACTGTCAAGAGACTTGGGCCAAGAAACATCTATACTTCCCTGTCTTCTAAACCCAATCCAAATGGCGGCTAGACATCCACTGTGACAGGGGAAAAACAGGTCTTCATTGAATCTGCTAATTCCATACCTTCTTTTGTTGACAAAGAAAATACTGAGGATCCCAAATTTGATTGGTTTGAAGAATATGTGAAGGGTCTATTGTCTAGGTGATGCCTATTAAATCTACTGGAGTTTCATGTATAAGATGAAGAGACAAATTCCAAAATTAGTTAAGAGATGATTTCTTTAAATGTGGCTTAAGAAGTATGGACATGTAAAATTCTACCTTGAAAATGAGAATGGATTTTATCTTACCTAGATATAAAGGATGGGATGTGATCCAGTTTTCATTTGGCTCATTAAATCTTTAAGGCCATGAAACAGACAATACAAAAAGCTTCCATGATTCTATTTATATGTACATTAGAAGAAATTTCCAGATGTTGCTGTAAATCCTCAATGCATTGTTTCAGCAGTCCTAATTTAATGCATATGTACTCCAGATAAACTTTTATATTGTTAAGCTATCACCGTCTCTTGGGAGCGGAACTCTTTCTTCTGAGACTTTGGATTTGACATTGGATTTGATTTTTTATATAGTAACTGACATGTTCCAGGGCAATGATGGATTGGAATCTACCTCAGATTGAAGTATAATGAGTACATTTTGCTTATATACTGATCACTTATTCCTGTTCAATGAGAGTGCCAGATTCATTTAGCTAAACTGATTCCAAAGAGTCGAAGTACATTGACCTCAAGTAATTCCAAAATGCTTTTTATTTATGCATATGTTGAAAAAAATTATCTGTTGTGAAGGTAAAATTGACAAATCTTGAAATTAAAAAGGCAAAATATGTGCAGGAACCAAACCGTAAATCAAGTATTTGGGAAGTAAAGACTGGAAGCTTGCTTACATTAAATTCCAAAAACTTGTATGCTCTTTCTGTAAACATATGTATTTTTTACCTCTGAATCAGAATAGCCACATTTGGAACACTTTCTGTTAGTCAATATTTTTATATAGAACTAGGTCCTGAGTCTAAGTGGGCTTGATTCCAGTAAATAAATCTTTTCACAACTGCCTCGATGCACAGAAAGTTTTTTTAAAAACAGACACTGTAAGGACTTTTGTTTGCATGGTCACTCACTAATGCTTAGATGTTCCAATATCTTAATATGGCCATAGTAGTCTTGATAACTGAAGTCATTTTTTCCCCATCTTTAGGAACCTACACCAAAACAACCATATCCAACAGATGTCAAGCTACTGTGTGTGAATGAACATTCTGTTTTGTTTCACACCTGAAGGCTATACATCTATTTTGGATTATATATTGTGTTTGTGTATTTATGCTTTGATTCATAGTAACTTCTCACGTTATAGAATTGATTTGCATTGAACATAAACTGTAAATAAAAAGAAATGTCTGAAAGAGAAAAAAAAATACAGGAGGGTAGACCTCATGTTAAGTATTCTGATGACCCCCCCCAAAAAGAGGGGCACCTGGGTGGCTCAGTCGGTTAATGTCTGCTTTCTGCTCAGGTCATGATTCTGGGGTCTGGGGATCGAGCCCTGCATTGGGCTCCCTCCTCAGCGTGGAATCTGCTTCTCTCTCTACCTCTGCTCCTTCCCCCTGTTCATGCTCTCTCTCTCTCTCTCTCTCATGCTCCCTTTCTCAAGTAAATAAATAAAATCTTAAAAAAAAGAAAAAATTAAAGAAAAGGGACATAAGGAAACTTTTGGAGGTAATATATATGCTTATTATATTGATTATGGTGGTGGTATCACAGGTATATTCTCATATAACTCATCCAATTGTATACATTAAATATGTAAAGTGTTTGTATATTCACTATATATCAATAAAATGGCAAAAAATAAAAGAAAAAAGAAAAATAAAAGAATTTGCTGTAAAAGGAAGAAAAGAAATGGACAACACCAGTATGAGAAGTGGAGTCAAGGGAGTTTGGGGTTTAGCTGTTTTTTACAGGGGAGAGAAATAACAGCACATCTGCACGTTTATGGGAGTGATCCAATCAAGAGGGGAAATTATGAGGCCACAGAAGAGAGAGCTGGGAATGGTAGACCTGTCCTTGAGCATGTGTCACCCCTGACACATGAGACCTAGGTCCTGTGGGCTAGGGCTTCGCCGGCTGCAGAGGCAGCCCATCCACAGGGCAAGGGAAGGCACCACGGATGGGCATAGACACAGAGAGGTAGGTACAGGCGAGAGATGGTGAATGTTCTCTTCTGATTGCTTCAGTGATCTCAGCAAAGCCAAAGAGGAAGGCGTGTTGGAAGTTTGAGGAGAGTGGAGAAAGTATGAAATAACCTAGGAGAAAGAGTGAGAAACTGCATTCCGGAAGCACGGTGTGATTGCTGGACAGCAGGAGACAGTACGAAGATCTGTGGTCCCCAGTTTCACATGAGACCGGCTAGTGTGGTTGTGTGTTGTTGAGTTGCCTGGGGGCTGGCATAGAATAGGTGGAGTGTTGGAGTTAACTAGGGTTGTGATTTATCTAACGAGTACCACATGAAATGTGAGAAAGAGCAGAGTTGAGAGTATATATAAAACAGTGACCCAACAATGAACATGAGATTTAACTAGGATAGGCATGAGGGACAATACAGCAGGAGTAGGATCAGTGGGTAGAAAGAAGACCCAGGTAGGGTCAGAGAATGGTGAAGCTGGGGTACTGGAAGGGGTGAGCTCGGAAGTTAGAAGATGACACTCAAGTATAGAATCCAGAATCTGAGATATGTTAGGGCTGCAGTGATTGGTAATGACAAGGCCACGGGTATGGCCATGGCAGTGAGGGACTGTGGGAGAGGGCTCTAGTAACTATGTAAGCCCAACGTTTATTTTATTTTTCCAAGAGGAGGGCTCAGATGGCATTTAGTGACTGAGCTATTTGACTTAAGTGCTCTGGGTATATATCTGCCTTGCATATCCTTCCAAAAAAAAAGCCCTTTGAGTGGTTCATGTTTCCAAATTATACACTAGAAAACCAAAAAGAACACATGCAAGTACTTTTTAAATGGAAGAGGTACTTCATTCCTCCCAAATGTGCAATCATAAATACTTGAACTAGAGCCCTATTTAGTTTGCAAAGCAAACATGTTTTTATTTTTCCTGCCTGGCAGGTAAGAATTAGTGTTAGGGTTGTGTTACATAAATACTGCATTCACTTTCTTGTTTTTATGTGATACAAAATGGAATCACTTATTCACCATGACTTTTCCCCCATAAAACTTCTCACGGAGTAACTAGTGCACAGAGCTGAATAATAAATCAAACACTCTAAGTAAAACCTGGGTATTCTCCGCTATCCTAAATCAACAGACTTGGCTTTGACATGTTATAGGAAAAATAAAGTTTCTCGGACAAGAGCTTCTACTCTTGAAAATCAGTAAGCAGATGTGAAACTGTTACAAAGGTAGAATGATCCTGATCACTATAATATATATCAGCACTAAGTAGGTCCTAAGAGGGAGACATCATTACTTACATCTTTATTAAACTTCTTTCCTCCATTTGTTTATCCATGGTCTACAATACCTTGTTGGGACAAAACTGGGCTAAATTTCCTGACACTCAACAAGGCTTTTTTTTATCAGCAATAACCACAGGGTGCTGAGCTTTATTCTTTTCACCAATTGTGTCAGAAGGTGCTCACAGGGCACACATGGGATTTCTTGGCATTCTCCGCAGGGACAAGATGAGCCTGAAGTGTGTCTCAAGCCCTGTGGAGTCCCCAAGGCCCCTGCTCCCTTCATGTTACCCTAAATGCCAAACACAGATGCATAGAAGGCATGTGAAAAAGGAAGAAAAAGAAAACAAAATAGTCTGTGACTTTCATTGTGAAAAATCACAGTAATATATTTTGTTTTATCTTGGAGGGAGCCTCTTTGGGTCAATCTGTTGATGAATTCACTGCTTCTGAGTGCATCAGTTGGGATGGAAGTGTTCATTTATTTGAACAGACAGCCTCCCAAAGAAACACTGTTGACCCTATCTATCATATCTCTGACTTGGGCTTTCTTCCTCTCTTGAAAAATGCCCCTCCTGACAAAATAGGCCGATTTCCCCAGAGTCTGCTAGTTGCTTTTAGTGGGAGTGGGGTGGGTAATTTCATTCCTGTGGATTATGCTTAATAAAGTCAAATTTAGCCTTTCGTGAGGATTTTCAACTTCTCGTCTTGATCATGTTCCCTCCACCCTGCCCATCAGGGCCCTCTGACTGCACTTGGCTCACTTTTCCTGCTATAATTAAACCACAAGACCTGCAATGCAGCACAGTCCCAAAGAGGATGGGCTCAATACCTGGATTGCCGGGGGGTGGGAGGGGGGGTGCTTCTCAAAACTCTGCCTCTTGGACAAGTGACTTAACCTCTCTATGGCACTTTCCTTACCTGAGAATTGTCCATAAACAACAGTATGAGTAACCAGTAAAATACATACACGACTGCCTAGCACCTAGCGGGCATTCTGAGAGTTGGCTATTTTATTGCCAAAAATATATCAGACATGGGGTAGTTGTGGCAGTCAGTGTCCCCCAGGGTGAGCAATCCAAGAGAAAGAGAAGAATCTCACACACACATTCTGAGAGGAAGAGAGAGAGAGAGGCCAAAAATAGTATTGGTCTTTTAAACCTAATTTTGGAGATGACATTCCATCTCTGCCATGCTCTATTCATTGTCATCAAGTCACTAAATCGAACGCACACTTAGGCTAAGAGATTACACAAAGGCAGGAACCACCGGGGATGGCCTACCATACCGCAGATTGTGAACTGATTTAGAAAGTGTCCCTAAAGTATTTTGCTTCTACATATATAGAGAGAGTATTATTTTTATCAATGAGAACCAGTTTCTAACATCTACCATCTTGATACCATACAAACAGGAGTTTTGCCAATAAAAGCCCGTATTTAACATCCAATAAGCTAATTGGCCAAGACCTGGTAGAGAGGCTAGCAGAGAACCTGGCTTTTTCCAGACAGTGCTG